CTGCCATTTTTTTAAATATTATTATTATTATAATTTTTTCATAAAAACAATATGTTAATCACAAGAGTTACTGTGAACAAATGGCAAATACGATGGGTGCGCGCCACTAGTTCGGCGTTACTTGTATGAACATGTTTCGATGCAAGTCGGCACGGGTTATCGTTCTCCAAATTATATAAAAATGTATTTTCGAGTGTTTTAGGAACATATGAACAAAACTAAGACCTATGCATTAAAAAATAAAAACTTTGAAAAATAAGGGACACCCTAACATACATACATATTTTTGAAAATACACACATAACATTCATGGAAAACACCCAGATCAATACAAACAAACATACTCATGAATACAAATTTGTACTGTACATGGAATCGAACCTGCGATTATCGGAAGTAAAACGCTATGTTAAACTGCTAGACCTCTAATACCATCAAAAAAACCAAAACCTTGTATAAATACTAACTTCAATCCAAAACGTTTCCAAGATAAACAAAACAAATTTGCAAACAAGAATTGCTCATTTAAAATTATAACATAAAAATAACTCGCCTCTGCGAACTTCTGTGGAAGCGGAAGCAATAAAAAATTATCTGTGGCATATTCAAATATTGGCTTTACTGCAATATAATCCTTTTATTTCTTATGTTTCATAGCTATCGCGCACGTAAATCAACGGCCACGAGGGTCAAATTGTTCCTATATTTTCCAAAGGGACCCTATAAATTTGCCCGTCTGCTTCGCAAAAATAGCTTTTATTTGCAAAAAAAAAACCTCTTTGTTTATTAGGTGTTGCGTGGCTCTATTGTTTGTGTACAGACAGAATCTTAATAATATTATAAACGCGAAAGTTTTTGAGTATGGATGTTTGTTACATTTTCACGCAAAAACTACTGAACGAATCTTGATGAATTTTTATAGTAATATAGCTTATGCATGTATAAGCTATATTACTGTAAAGTCTATATTACTCTCTATATGCAACAGAATAACACGTAAGCTATATGTTTTATAGAAACATATATATTGAAATTTAACGCGCGTAAAACCGCGAGCTCAACTAATTTATAATAATAATAATAAGTATAATAAAAACCAAGAAAAGCTATGTAAATGAAGCAGAATAATAATAAAAGACGTCGTTCTTAACATATGCTGTATTGTAAGAAAATTCCATAAGAAATTCATCATCCTCATAGAATCTTTAAACTCATCCATGCATGGCTACGAGTAAGGCCCGCGTGTTTGGCCCGTAAGTATGAATACGCTGCAAAGCATAAAAACTCAGCAAAAGCTGTAAAAATAAAACATAACAATAACAATAATAAAAAAAGCCGTCATTCTAAACACAACAATAAAAGCTACGTTGTATCTTTCTTTTTGAGAAAAGTTACTAACTTCTGTTTTTCAAAAATCTATATATCTTAACTACCATTATAAAATGGTAAAGTTTGTGAGTTTTAAACTCAGTTCAGGGTAATGCGTTACTACAGATCTGATATTGATAATTATTTTAGTCTTCGATAGCCCATTTATTGTTGAAACACATAACCTATATGTTAATCAATCATCAATAAATGGGCTACCAATAGTAGCGGAGCTGCGTGGAAAAACGAGGACAGAGCGACGCAAACTAAGCTGGGTAGGGTCACCTAATTTATACATTTTTGCAATAACAATAATAAAAAGTTACATGCAGCCGTCATTTTTAACACATGCTGTATTGTAATAAAATTTACCGATACGATATTGAAACCTTCAAGAAAAGAGCTTATTCCTTTTTAAAGGCCGACAACGTACTTGCAATTCTCGGTGTTGCGGGTGCTCATGAGCGGCGGTAATCGCTTACCATCAGGTGAGCCGCATAGTAGTTAGTCCCCTGTTTTATAAAAAAAAAATATTTCGTCATCACATGTATGATTATCATATAACTTTTAAACTCATCCACGCTTGGAGGCCTGCGTGTTTGAATGTATTACCCCCGTAAAAAGAGAGATATATATGTATAATATATACATAATATATGGTATTTTAACTAATGGTAATATTGCTTTATTTGAACATATCCTCTGAATTACAGCATTTAAAAATTTAAGTTAGTTCCGTAAATCATGTTCATGATTTACAAGACCCTATTTAGCAAAGAAAAAAGTTTATTATTTTCTTTATATTAATAAATTAGTTGCATTTTAAGTAGATATTTGTAACTTTGTATAAAATTCACCACTACTCTAAACAAATTTGCATGATTATATAATTATTGTCTTAAGTAAACTGTGATTTACGTCGTTGATGATACATTTGTCTTTCATCTCATCACACATTGTATGTATATATAATATTGTATTACTGTTTGTTAGTTAGTAGTTAGTAAATAAATAATAAAAAAATTGGTATTCTGTAGTCTTGTATTTGTGTACAGTCAGTTCTTATTTATTAATATTCATAGGATTTCTTATTCTTGACTGTTATGTTTTAACGTAGATTGTATTGACGGCCTCTGTGGACACCGCTCTGCTTCCGATGGTCGCGGGTTCGATTTCTTGCACGTGCACATTTTATTTGTATTCATGAGATCAGTCAGGCGGGAGTTGGCCTTCAGCCGCTTCATAACTCCTTCCGCAGGTTTGGAGTGTCATCTGCACTCGCTCACTATCGTCCGGTGAAGCTGTAAAAGCCAATACCTACCACTGAACAAAAACCACAAGTGCCATTGCCGGAGTCATGAGGTTGCGTTAGCATAACTACCACTACTCTTTAGATGATGTAGGGCAGTTATTTGTCAAATATTATATTGTATGTATTTACAAAAATAATATATCTATATATTCGTGTCAGTTGACCGGTACCCTTAACACAAGCTCTCCAGGGTTATAATTATAACATAAAATTTCATTAAGATTTCATCGGTCATTTAGTTGTGAAAGGAGACAAACAGACAGCAAACTTCCGCATTTATAACATCTTAATGTATATATATATAATTTTCTAATCGAAATATAATTATTTCTACATACATACTAGATAATATTAAAAAAACAAGAATAAAAATATTAACTATAATATTATAATCTAAACTTTTAAATATCCGATTTAAATTTTCTTTTATTGTTAAAAATAACAACGGTTACTGTTTGCTACAATAACCGTTTTCGTATAAAATTGTATTTTAACAACATAAATATTTCGCCACGGGTCTAGTTGTGCCGTGTTGTTATTTTTATTTTCCCGGAAGTTTGTCGTACTGTACAGAATGCAGTGTTACCAACATTCACACAATATCGTATGACGGTGGAATGCAAACGACCTTATTTAGTCAATGAATTACGTGACATATCTGTAACCTTGTAAACTATTGTTTACCTTCTTTCTTTGTAGTCTTCTTTATCTTTTTATCTCTTTGTTTGTTTCCAAAGTGTGTTCTTATACATTGAGTATTTTGCAAATATATATTGTTTTTATTCTTAGATTTATTTAGGGACTTTTATCATAATATGATACGTTGGGGCTAGCATTATTATATTAGTAATAACTAATCGTTTAATGTACAGTGAAAACAAAAAAAATTCTAGCGATGATACAGGATCAGTATTTCAGGTTATACCTATTTCAGATACCAGCTCCTCACAGCTAATCGATTATAATAATAAATTTAAGCATCTTATTATAAAAAAATACTACATGTATTGTTGCCATAATGTTTGTGAGGAAAAATAAATAAATCATATTATATTATTATAATTATCAGATAATATACCGTGGTACACACCAATATCAAGCCGATTCAGTTTAATTCTTTTACATGCAATTCCCTTTTAAAGGCGTCTCGGACATACTCCATTTTGATGCATTATATTTATAATAAAAAAATAGAATTAAAGAAAAAAAATTACAGTATGACCCGTAACTCTAGCTTATATCCAATAATATCGAGAATATAGGCATAAAATGAATAAATAAATAATGATGATAATATTTGTGGATCAATATCTTAAATTAAGTGAATAATAACAAGCTGTGTAAATAAACTGTTGTAATATAACTTTATTAATAAGTCTGGAACGTTTAAATAAACCCTACATTATTCATTTCTCAAGTATTCGATTTGATAATTAGAAGTGGCACTTAAGAAAATTTTAATCCACAATTCATTCTATCAAATTAATTCACTGTTATAACTAATTCTTTTTCTGTAAGTAGTGAAATTTATACAATTCTGAATCTATATTGTAATGCTTTTAGATTCATTTTAATTTCTTGTTCAGAAGTTCGAAATAATGAAATTGCATCAAGAGTTTTTAATTCCTTATGATAATTCGACACACGTGAATGAATATTACAATTATATCTACAGCTACCGAATTAATTGTTATTTATATAGTATACTATTAAATCCGTTAGTTAGTTGATTAAAAGTCTGGATGCAAAGAATTGATTGAATTTATATAGGCATAAAATGAATAAATAAATGATACTGATAATATTTCAGGACAATTTCGCACAAATACATCTATCCCAAGCTAATAACTACCTATTCATAACACAAGCTCTGTTGTGTTATGAATAGGTACTAGACAATTGATACAAATACATACTTTTATACATTTTTATACATACTTAATATACATAGAAAACACCCAGACCGATACATATAATTATACATATTATGTATTTAACACACGCGCATAGAAGTCTAGTCTTTGACAATAGAACCTTAATAATGTTCAAACTTATAATTTAAATTAATTATAGTCAACTTTCGACTATTGAGCGATTACTAGTTAATAAAAATTGTAATTTTCTAATAATTATTCATTTCCATCCCTGATTTAATGATTTAAATTACAGATTAAATTGATGTATTGAAAATTATACTATTGTCTAGTATAATTAGCATGAAATGCTTGGACACAATGTTCCCATTAAACAGCATTCCTTTGAGCATTTAACATATATGTATTATATATTATATATAACATAATTATCCCTGTTGTTTCAGATAACCCTCTCCACTGCGATTGCCGGTTATCTTGGGTATATTTATTAAGAAACGAGACCAAACACAACGCTCTAATAAACGCACTCGACAAAATATCATGTATCATGGAACCCAACGGGCACGAAGGGGAAAATATAAAAGTGTACAACAAGAATTTATTGCCAGACGACAGTTACGACTATTATGACATTAACAACAATGATTACAACAATTTTATTAAACCGACAACAAACGATGGTCAGAAATTAATTAATATACCGATAGAAACACTTCCCTGTCCGAAAGAAATAATGAAATCAATCGAAGAAACTTACGGGCATCCGGTCCAGAATGAGATTAAGGTAAAAGCATTCTCTGTAGCCAGTACGACCGGGCCAAACTTAATAATTATTGTGTTGTTTGGCAAATTGTTGTATTAACTAAGTTGTAAGTTAATTTTGTTGTTGTAAAAAAATAAAAGTATATTTGTGATATTAGATGTTAAATGTTAAATATATCATAATTCTAGTTCTTATATTCTTTTGTGATTTAATGAGAATTGTTTGTTATTTGATAATTTAGGACCATATAATATGTATCATATTATTATAATAGGTACCAATTTTGATGACTCATTTGGGCCCGTAGTCCCACGTGGCAATGCTCGGCAAAAACGCCATATAGAAGAAGACAAAAACCTCCCTTTATAACAGTTTTTACATGGAATGGTACTAAACAGTCTGTACTCGGATGAACTACGGATGTTAACTTACCCGACGTCATTCAATATTAACGATTTTCAATAGAATTGCAAAAATATTCGTCAAAATAGAAAGAATAGTCTTTCTTATATTTAGGTCATTGCACTGTTGAATCGTTATTTTTTTTAGAACAAAATATTTTTTTTAGTATGCCTGTATTTGCCAATACGTTTTGTTTTAAGTAATATCCAGTTTAAAAAAGGGAAGGTTTTTGCTTGTGGATCAATATCTTAAATTAAGTGAATAATAACAAGCTGTGTAAATAAACTGTTGTAATATAACTTTATTAATAAGTCTGGAACGTTTAAATAAACCCTACATTGTTCATTTCTCAAGTATTCGATTTGATAATTAGAAGTGGCACTTAAGAAAATTTTAATCCACAATTCATTCTATCAAATTAATTCACTGTTATAACTAATTCTTTTTCTATAAGTAGTGAAATTTATACAATTCTGAATCTATATTGTAATGCTTTAAGATTCATTTTAATTTCTTGTTCAGAAGTTCGAAATAATGAAATTGCATCAAGAGTTATGAATTCCTTATGATAATTCCACAGACGTGAATAAATATTACAATTATATCTACAGCTACCGAATTAATTGTTATTTATATAGTATACTATTAAATCCGTTAGTTAGTTGATTAAAAGTCTGGATGCAAAGAATTGACCTGGTCTGAATCTCGGTCGGAAGAAAATCTTTTGTGTAATTTTATAATTCAGAAGTACTGTTTAAATTTTTTGGGGACGTTACAGAAGTAGAAATTTTTCCTACCATATTAACTTGCCAAGTAGCTTGTTATTTCCGTTGAAAGTTAAGATAAAGCAGTAAAAAACAAAAAATATCCTATTAGGTATGACCTCCTGAATGGCAACTCTTGCAGTATCACAGTATCGTGTGACGACATGATAACGTGATGCCCGTAGTACTGTTCATATATGTAGGCGACTGTTAACTTGTGCTGTGTATTTATCTGTATATTTAGCAATTAGTCCAAATATAAAATGTATAAAGGTTAAACTAAAATATTTTATCTTTGAAAATGTTTTTATTTTGTTACAAATAAAGAACATTCAAATAATAAACTACCATTCATTATAAATACTGTAGCAACAAGGTAAAATAACTTCTCTTGTACAGGAAATAAAGTGGCATATTTAATTGGGAGTGAAATGAAATAAACCTACAAGAAATCAGAGCGTGAAGAATATAAATAACAGATATTTTAATGTTATTGATGGAAACATTTTTGTTGTACAAATTATAATTACAATACTTATAGAGTTAACTCTCATACCATATAGTTAACTGATTATTATCACTGACTTCATCTACAAAAACAATCATCTATTTTAATCCACAGATTAGTTTTGACAAGATAAGGAATATATAGCCTTAGTCCTGATGCAATCTATCTTTATATCGAATCTCATTAATATCGAATCAGCAGTTTGGCCGTAAAAATGTAACATACAGACACGTGTTACCTTTTATAATATTAGTATTTATGAGTAATCGAAACTTATAATAATAGTTACAAAAAAAACATTAATAATATTGGTATAAAATTATATATATTTTAATAATTGGGCCCATTAGGTACCTTGATATTATATCAAAATAATCTCAAGATATTAAGAAATATAAATTAAATTCATATTATTTATTTATTATCTAAAAATTGATTGCTTTGTCAAAAAATATTTTATTATAAATAGACATTAACCTTTTGATATTCAAAAGCAAAAATTACAAAAAGAAAAAGTACACGAGAAAGCTTAATAGCTTCTAAATTTAACACTAAGTCATAGGACTTCTAATAACAAAAGCTCGGGTCTAAGTAACAGAGAATGCTCATATATTAATAAATAACTATAATAAAATATAAACAATGCCTATTTTTAAGTTATAAAAATCTATTATAAAAAAATATTCGATCGATAATTCGAAAATTAAATGAATCAACATGGAAAGTATATTAAATTAAATAATTTAACCTAAAAAATGTTTTGTAATGAAATGGTCAACCATTTCAGATGGTAAATGGTAGCTCTCAACTCACATGAACAGCTGTATGGAGGACACGTATCAAAAGACACTCGAGAGAAATAAGGTGTCATGCTTCTTATCCTGTAATTTCCAAAATTATGTCACCCTACAACCAAACAACAGATTACAAAGCAAGCTGATTGGAGGTTGAAATAGATGAGACTGTGGTACCCATGTAGACAAAATTTTCAATCTACCTCAGTGGCATAAATAGGTTATTTACAGTAACTGTTATTTAAACGAACTACCGATATTGTTCACCACTCGGATCCGTGTGTGGCAGTGCCATTGTGGCGGTGCCTCCTACTCGGATCCGAGCGAGCGATTCGTTCATTTTCTAGTAGCCAGTAAACCACCGGATTCTACGTTGTTATCCATATTTTTAAATATTTGTATACACTTCATCAAAAGTCACCTAAAAATAAATTGGTTCTCAGCGATTATTTTCTATTATTAGGTCGGCATTGTATGTGATGTAAAAGCATCTTCTTTTGTATAATATGCAATTGTAAAAAACGTGAATATAGGCCAAAAACTATAAAAAAAAAAAATTAAAAATATATCTTTAAATTTGAAAATGCACTTCAGACATATCACATGTAGGTACTACGAGAGTATCTTCCTTTTTTTGAAGGTTGAAAGCAGTAGAAATCCTTCGCAACTTTGATCTTAAACTACACTACCTTACGTTATTATCCTTAAGGGGATTTTTGGGGGCTCCGCTATTGTCAATAGTATTAATACAACTATAATGCGCTAAAATACTACTCTACCTATGGTTGACTGGTTGAAAATGCCGCACGGTGTTAAGTGCTACATATTGTATTGTGTGCATTGAAGTTAAATAAATAAATAAATAAAATAGTACCTATTTAATTAAAATTTCATACTTCTTACGTTACCTTTAGTGAAAAATGATCTATACATATAAGTAAAATTGGAGTGTCTGTTTGTAATATTGAAATAACCGTTTTTTACTATCTGCATATGAATATGCATACGGTACATACACAAAAATTACATTTATTTCAATTTTTGTCAGTCTGTCTATTTGTTCCGGCTAATCTCTGAAATGTCTTTTAGCATGTAGCTGATGTAATAAGGAAGGACTTAGGCTACTTTCATTTTAGAAAAATTCTTTTATTATAGATAAATATAGATAAATTCCACGCGGACGAAGTCGCGGGTCCAGCTAGTAATATCTAAATTACAGAGTAAACTCTAAATTCCATAAAATACTATTTTAAACGCTAAATATTTCACAGTATAACATGTGAGGTTCCCACAAATATTTCGCTTAGCTCTACGTGACTGTACAAGACTAAAATTTCTAAATTTAAAAGCATATTTACAACGTTCGACCTAATACCGATGGTGCGGTGGAATATATAAAATTTAAAGCCGGAATAAATACTGTGACTGCCCATACAGCTTAATTTATACAATTTAAAGCCGGAATAGATATTGTGACTGCTCATACAGCTTAATTTATAAAATTTAAAGCCGGAATAGATACTGTGACTGCCCATACAGATTAATTTATAAAATTTAAAGCCGGAATAGATACTGTAACTGCTCATACAGCTTAATTTATAAAATTTAAAGCCAGAATAGATATTGTGACTGCTCATACAGCTTAATTTATACAATTTAAAGCCGGAATAGATACTGTGACTGCCCATACAGCTTAATTTATACAATTTAAAACCGGAATAGATACTGTGACTGCCCATACAGCTTAATTTATACAATTTAAAGCCGGATTATATACTGTGACTGCCCATACAGCTTAATTTATAAAATTTAAAGCCAGAATAGATACTGTGACTGCCCATACAGCTTAATTTATACAATTTAAAGCCGGATTATATACTGTGACTGCCCATACAGCTTAATTTATAAAATTTAAAGCCAGAATAGATACTGTGACTGCCCATATTGCCTATACTGCTTGCTGTTTGCCATAGGTGTTACATATTATTAAAAAATAATTAAATTATTTATTTATTAAAACTACAATGCACAAATACATAAACAAAAAAATTACATTTGCTCATGATCAGTTATAAGGTATGGTCAGTATTGGTCAGTAATAAGCAGACTGGTATTACCTTGTCATTTTGTCCCAGTCAACTATAGGGTAATTAGTTATTATTTTTTATGTAATTTGAATTGCAAACAAGATTACAGCCCACACGATAATAAGCTGTCGCTTACAGTATGAATACATAAACAGGCTGATGATATTACTTTATCATATGACACTCAAGCCATTGGCCACTAGTCAGAGCTCTATGATGCTTCTTATCCTATAGTTTCACTATCTAATCTCATCCTAGAATCGAAACAGCTGTAACAGTCGCCTTTAGTAGGTATACATAAACACGCTGATGCTATCACGTTATCATGTGATACCCGTGATACCACTCATGCCATTGGCAGTCAGAGGTCTAAGATATAATAATAATATAATATAATATCTCAGGACTATTCACACAGCGCCATCTAGTACCAAGCTAAGCAGAGCTTGTGTTATGGGTACTAGACAACTGATATAAATACATGGACAATTTTTTTTTGTAAATAAATACATATTATACATAGAAAACAGATACAAACAATCAT